ATTGCAATCCAAGGAATGATATGTGATGTACGTGCACACACATGCAGACATGCAGACATACCACTGTGTGGATCCCAGAGCTCCTTTAAGTGGAATAAGCGAGGACTGTCCTTTGCACACGACTCGCTTTCCTCCCAATAAGCTGCACCATATACGACAGTGGGGACCAGCCTCTCAGTCCCAAAGCATCCTCCTCATCCTCATCGCGGGCACAGAAACTTTGCGGGCTTGGAGCAGCACCGGGAAGGAAGCATTTGCATTAAATAGTTTGCAGGCTGAGATGACTTTCGAAAGACAAGTGATATAGCCAGAGATTGCATCGGATCGGGAAAAAAAAAGATCCTGGATTTGCATTATTTATTTATTTATTTATTTATTTATTTATTTATTTATTTGTATCTTTATTTATTTACTTACTTACTTACTTGCTTTACTTACTTGACCCCCCAAGTTCCCCTGTGCTGCACTTTCAAGACCAGGAAGATATGGATCAGTTTGGGAATTCTGAGAAAGCTCATCTGATAACTGACAAGAAGGCAAACATGTACACCCTGCGCCTGAAAAGGTAAAGCTAAACCCCCCCCCCCTCCCCTCCCTCCCCTCCACCCCCTCCACTGGGGGTATATTTCTACAGCTATTACTGTATGTTTGAAAATGCGTGGGGTTTTATTTTTAAAAAAATATTGTTCGGAAGTCCTCCCACAATTTAACGAGATGAGGCGATCAAGTACCCACTTAATCAATTGGATCTTCCAATAGCCGAGGGTGAGGTCTGGGAACTGTGTTCCACATCTCACCCACTGTGCCGGAGACCACCGACTGCACACAGTATCCAACTGTGACACTGCGGTGTTGGGTTTGGCTGAATCTTTAGGGCTTTATTTCTCTGTTTCACACACACACACTCACACACACACACACACATACACACACACACACACTCACACACACACATTCACTCACACACATACACACACTCACACATACACATTCACTCACACACACACACTCACACACACACATTCACTCACACTCACACACTCACACACATTCACTCACACACACACTCTCTCACACACACACACTCGCACACACACACATTCACTCACACTCACACACACACTCTCACACACACACAATCACTCACACACACACTCTCACACACTCTCACACACTCACACACACACTCTCTCACACACACACTCTCACACACACACAAAATACAACGCGAAAGTAAAATGCGAATGAACTCACATGAGGGCGACCACATTGACAGCCACACGAGTTGGGACGTTTTCGTGGGTTAACCTCAGCACAGCCCAGACTGCTCTGCAGGAGAGTTGAGGGCCAAATTCTGGTTTCGTTTTAATGGGTTAAATGCAGCAAAAGTAAAAGATTTTTTGGGGGGTGATGGGTGGGGGTGGGGGGGAATCAAAGGTAACTGTTCCTTTGCCCACTAAGACTGTCGTGTGCAGGGGGTTTGCTGTTGAGCGAACCTGACCCATCCCAATGACTGGTTTTGTGGTGACTGATGTGTTCAGTATTACAGCTGCACAGAGTCTGGTAAAATGTGGAGTATTTATAAGCCACGATCTTTCTGCCTCGGCACCTAATGTGCAGTTGTATACTGTATATATATATATATGTATGTATGTATATATATGTACTGCAATACCAACAGTTGTTTGAAATACCCTGTTACACACCCAGAACAACATCTTTGAAAATGCACAGTGTGTGATCTGTGGATCTGTCCCCAAAGCAGCCACAGAGCCCCCGGTGCATGGCTTTCTCACCTTGCACAGTGTTTCAGTGTTTGCAAACCTACCCCCAGAGCTGAGCTGAGCTGAGCTGAGCTCCAGGAGGAGGGAGGGAGGGAGGGAGGGAGGGAGAGCAGTTTGTTCGAAGAAATTCATTTTCACGCTTGGTGTGTCTCAGACAATGTGTGATTAATAGCTCGGGGGGAGCTGATCATTCAGGAGATAACGCAAAAGGCAATACTCATGATTGATGCTTTTTTGGAGGAGAGGACATTATAAGCTCGTTACACACTCGCTTTCCAATCGTCAGCTCTCTCCGGGTACCCGGCAATATGAGCTGATAACGCTTCTCCCGATGCCTGATCCATATTGGAGGAATTATTCGTCTGTCAGGTGTGTGGGAAAAGGGGGAAAAAAAAGGACAAACAGCTCATCAGCTTCAAGAGATTTGGCAATTTGGTTGCATTGCATTTAACAAACCCCATTGTTTGTCCATCAACAATCTCTGTTACATTGTCCTTCTGTAAGTAATGTATATCACACCGTTCCTGTATAACCAATACATCTTCGCCCACAAAATACACATTCAATCCACTTCACAGTATATTCGGTGAAGCGCTTTGAGATGCCTCAACGACTTAATAATTCGTTATATCAAACGCGAGGATTGGTATTATTATTTAATATATTTAACTGATTCTACATCACCAAATTACCCCCCAAAATAGACAATTTTAGTAGCCTGGTTATTACACTGAACACACGGATTATCTGCTGATTATTGTGCAATGGAGATATTAATGTTTATCAAAGTCTATGTTCCACAACATATTCGCATAGCAAAACGTGGACCACTTTGAAAAGAAACCCTCGTTGATAAGAGTCGGATTTCAAGAAACATAAAAAGAATGCATAGAAGAGGATAGATTGTGTGAGGATAGGTTGTGTGTTTTTAGGATAGTTTGTGAGTGTGGAGAGCTTCTGCAAGAGGGAGCAATGATGCCCATCTAGTTAACGCTGGACCAAGGGAAAGTTTTAATCTATTATAGACATATATATAATATATATTAATCCAGTCTCTCTCCGTTCAGGATTTGCGGAAACTTGCAAAACCACCGCTAACTAAACACGCTGCATTTTGCATTTGATTTTTTTTTTGGAGTAATAAAACTTACATTAAACTCAATAATGCAACACAACCTTACAGACTAATTTCCATTTCAGACACAGGGACATTTCCGTGTTGTCGGTGGCAGATATGTGCGGACCTCTCATTCTGGTTCGAACCTGGTGATGGGTTTCTACCACTGTCAAACATCTGTCTGACCAAATAAAAAAATAAAAGTGGGATTTTTGCCTTCAGTTGCATACTTTTACTGCAGCAAATCACCAGAATTACAATACTTCAGTGCAAATCATGTCCAGCACACACTTTCCAGTGCATAAATTGGCCAACGTTTGGGAACTGATCATACAAATGAGTGGAGATAAACAGGTTGGTTATGGAATCCCCATTGATTCTATGTTTAATATATTTAGTATTAATATATCAGTAATATATTTAGCTGATTATATAACCACCAATATTCCCAAAGCGGACGATTCGCCTGATTCTATTTAAGAAAAGGACTACCTGCTTGATATTGTGCAATGAAGGTGTTAATGTGTATCACAGTCTGTGCTCCTTTCAAAGGAATTTCCTCGTACAGTTGTACTTACTTGTTTTTTTAAGTTGAGGTGTATTCGCATTGAGATTCCATGAGGGGTCGGATCCCCATCACCCCCTTTGGGGGGTGCAGTGGAAAATTGCGAGGCGTGTAATTGGTGCTGATATTTACCCAGAGAGAGTGTGCAGTGATACAGTTGGACTGGTGCACATCACACCCACTTCTCAGGTTTGGTGTCCCTCACCTCACCAGATGCACAGACCTGCAGCACCCAACAGCTCCAGGCGGATTGCTAAACTTTGGCACTGACTGTCTGAGCATTTTCACCTTAACTTTCATTCAGTTCAAACCACACTTGGCTCTGCGGTCAGATTGAGAAGTTGGGGGGCTATGGATTAAGGAACTGATCCCAAATATTATTATTATTATTGTTATAACTGGGGAATGGATCCAGACTCCAGCGTGAAACGAACCTGGTCAGAGCTGCAACCAACCAATTGCTATTTTCTCTCTGTGTGGCATCGTGATTTACCCCCCACCCCCCAAAAAATAATAATAATAAAGCGAATTATGGCTCAACATTGCTAAAGATCTAACAGAATTGAAGTAAATTGTAATACTGTATATTTAACACTGGACAGAACATTTTTGTTCTCAACGTTAAAGGTGGATTCTTCTCCCAGGAGACGAACAGGAATGGCTTTTTGAGGAATAAAGCATCATTTCAATCAAAACTGCAAATTCATACAATTGCACGATTTTCTCTTTACTGGGGGAGGAATGGTTTATTGATCCCATTTTGTTGTTATCCATCCCGATGTGTCGCTTCCACACACACAGACACCAATATTGTTTTATTTTTAAATATCACGAATGGTTTCAGATTTTCAACTCTGAGACCATAGAAATGAAATAGAATTTCTCCAATGCCTGATTTTGGGGGACAGGTTAGTGTGAATTTGCAACCTGAAGGCAGAAAGAAAGGCACACAGCACTTTTGCTTTGCTTTCTGTAAAAGTCTCGGCACATTGCATTAACAATCTTCTGTATGATTTATCACAGAGCTAAAAAGCATTTCCACTTTAGGATTTTCTTGAAAATTATCATCAGATCTTCAGTTACCTTTTTTTTAATGATGATCAAGCAATGCGCAATCATATTTAAAATTCACAATAATAAAGAGACATATTTGTTAGCGGGAAATGCTGATAAATAAATCAAAGAAGAAATGCTGTATTAAAAATAGGCAACTGAAAAGCTGTTACTACAGAAAACCAGAGTGTTATTGTTATTATTGTTATTAGCATTTAATCAACTAGATACAATCTTGAATACATTTCTGCTTGGCTCCATTAGTGATCTGGGCAAAATAATTACCAGTTTGCCTTTTTGTATGTATGTGTTATAACTTATAATAAAGACCAGACAAAACGATACAGTTATAACTGAAATATGTTGATAATTCTCACTGCTGTATAAAGCCAGACTTTCCCAGGAAATGGTATTGGGGGAGGTATTGAGGATGTAATCATTGGGGCCTTTTCAGGTTTAAGATTTTAGTCATCCTAAAGGAATGACATATCTCAGAACATTCCTCAGCTCGGCCGCCCAGTTCAGCTTTGAGCTATCCTACGGACGTAAAAAGCGTTACATCAATATAAACGGTATTGTACTGCAACGTCTAAAGAACTGGAAATGTCTTCAATATGAGTATTTATTTGGACTGTAATAATATTACATTCTTCAAGCCTCCTTCCAACTTAATTTTAAAAGGCTTTACAAAACTGAAATGCTGAATATTCATAAAGAGGACTAAAACCCAAACTTTTGTTTTAGTACATTTTTAATACAGGTTGCCTGAATGGTTTGCTAAGATAAACTGCCTTCTTATTGTTAACTACTATTGTTACTGATAAACATACTTGGATATATACTATAGAAGTCAGAATAAATGTCTTGACCAATATAAATTTGTCTTCATCATACATTATGCTAAGAAATAGGAATATAATATATGTATTTGTCGCATTAAAGAACTATGAAAATATCACAAGAAGAGGAATATTGTACTGTAAACTAATATATTTATAACTATAATTACTTTCAATAATGCCTGAGATAGTAAGGAGAATTGTGTAGTCAATATTACAACAAAAAAGTGAAAGGCTTTCTGGTGCAATGTTTGCTTTGCCACTATAAATCTGATCTTTCACTAGATTTTCTTTTGGGGATCGAAATTACTGTGATGTAGCAAACATTGTACGGAAATACTTACTTCATACATCCCAATAAAATACTCTTTGCCCACACAATCGCAACGTTGGCCAAGTTTCCTTACTCCACACACTTCTGTTTACCCAGCAGTAAGTAGGAACCCAGTTGGATCACTTTTCCAGGGGTAATAATTCTTTCAAAATAATTTTTTTAAAATAATTTGGTCACTCAATCCACAATGGTTTGAGGGACACTGCTGTGTGCAGTTGGCTGCTGTGTTTTGCCCAGAAAATATTCAGTCAATTCACTTTACAGTATGTTTCGTGAAGCGCTTTGAGACATCTCAAAGACGTGATGAGGTGCTCTATCAAATAAAATGATCATTATTGTTATTATTGCAATATTTTTCTGGTTCTTCAAACAAAATAAGTTTATTTTCTCACTCCAGTGTGCTGTTTTCCTCATCCATAACAGTATTTCAATCTTTATTCATACATCTAAAGTAAACTTCAAAATTATTGTCTGTTTTCCTTTTATGGGTGTAACTGATATGCAACACCCTTTTATCCTGTGCATGCTTTGTAAAAAGTAAATTCTTGACTTCTGCAACTTACTACAGAGAGATTTTTTTCCCACTTAATTGTTGCAAATGATTCAATTTCAAAAAATCTAGAATAATGTACAAATAGAATGTGATACAAAAAATCCAGCCACACATTTCAATGCACACCAATGTGGGCCGAACTCATCACTATTTTTATACGATGCATTCACGGAAATCAATATGGTAGACACACCTTCTAAAACACTCTAAAGTGGAAAAATACTTTAATATGTGAGGGAGTTTACACAGAATCAATTGGGATGTTTTGAAAAAGAGATAGAAATATACTTGGGGTTATAATATTTCTGTGCATTAAGGGAAGAAAAAAGGTGGGGAGATGAGATTAAAATATCTGCCGTGATCTAATAAATCGGTGGAACAGGTTTGATAGACTGAATGGCCTCCTCCTATTCGTATTTGAGTGTGATTTTTGTCAGCAAAATAAATGTTCAATTTAATTGAATTAAATTTCTCCATCAAAAAAATGGGTCAAAAGTCCACCAATAACAGATTCCCATTGTCTCAAAGAAATTTCATCGACAAGTCAATCACAATATGTCAGTGTACTTTAACGGTAGAACTATTATGATTTCAGAGTCTGGTTGTTACCCTTTCATTTCTATCACTCTTCTTCTCTCTGCATCATCATTCACTGATCAACCCGTCTCTTGGTTTAATTAATTTTTATTGCTGCTCTCTGTCTTGTTTTAAGGGTTCTTCCAATTCACTATTTCAGTTCTGATCAAAGGTTCTGCCAGAAACAATAACCTGAGGATTTCCAATGATTTTATGTCACAATTACTGTACGTAATAGCAAGTTGATGCAATTCCCCAAATATGAGATAAAATGGATGTTATATGCTGCACAAAATTAGCAAAAAAGGAAAATAAATAAACCCAAATTTGTTGATGTACAGGGTGATCTCAAACCATGGAGCGGGAGGTGAAATTCAAAGCATTTATAAAATCTACAACTGTAAAACAGGAGAATAAAATGTTCCAGAATGTTGTACATCATAGAACCACCGGTTGTTTCCATGTTCAACCGTGCCTTCTGCCACCTTCCCAACCCCACCCCCCTGCCCTCCTCCCCTTCTGACCCCAACTCCTGTCTAGGGACCAAAATCCCTGATTGTCCAGTGCCCTGGGACGTCTTTCCGACGTGAAGGGCATTATTAAGTGTAATTTGTTGTTGCTGTTATAGTTCAGATAGAGACCATTTGTCTGACTTGCCTTTTTCTTCTTATGAGCCACCTAATCTAATCTAATTCCCCTGCTCACTCGCCATACATAGTCTTTAATATTTCTCTTTTCTAAGCACCAATTTGATTCCTTTGAACATATCAGCCTGGCTCAGTTGGTAGTACTTTCACCTCTGATTTAGAAGATTATGGATCAAGCCCCACATCAAACAATACAATTTACACTAATACAGGATGACCAAAAAGTTATGATATCCATCCTATTATCTAAAAAAAACAAATATCATCATTTCTTTAAGACTTATTAGACATTGTAATGGTATCACAACTTTTTGTGTAGTGTTAGGGGTGTGCTGGATTGTTGGAAGTGCTGTGCTTCGTATGAGATGTTAAACCAATCCTGTCTACCTGTTTAGTTGGACATTAAAGATCCCATAACACTATTCAAAAGGAAAAGGGAGTTTCTCCCTGTGCCCTGGCCAACAATCTCGCAAATAAAATTAGCCATTCATTTTATGGCTGTTTCTGGGACATTGTTGCTGCATTCACCTACAAAGTACATAGTTATTGCACTTTACAGTATAACCTGTCAAGCTCGATAAGACTTCCTTCTGATATATCAAATGTAAGGATTATTATTATTATAAAGTAATTTATGTTCTCTCCTTCAATAACCCTTCATAATCTTGAGAACCTCTGCATGTCACCTCTTAAACATAACAATCAGCAAAGCTTTAATTTCTCAAGTCTCTCTTCAGAACTGAACCCTTCATCCCAGGTAACATACCAATGAATCTGTTACACCCTTTCCATTGATTTTATGTCATTCCTATAGATTTTGTTCTGTCCATTGAGGCTATTTCTGAGAGAAGTGAGCCCACAACAGGAATAGCAAAACTAAGTATCTAAATACAATGTTTGAAACTTTCAACAAAAACAGGAACACATATTGTACAGCAAAAAACGGATTAACAATAACAACTTGCATTTATATAACACACTTACATGGGGGAGCGTCTTGGAGCACTTAAAGCTACAGCAAAAGGAAAGGAAAGAGATAAGAGAATCAAAGTATCTCTTTGACAAAAGAGCTATCTGACCCTGCATGAAACTATTAGAATCAAGGCTATGAAGTATCCACAACAGTGAAAAGCAGACACCGTCATCAGCAAATGTCAAGGAACAATGTCACAATTTTCATGGCCACAGCTCAGCAAAAAAGTGAAAGCAGATTGCCAAAGTAATGCTGAATTCAGTTACGCCTCTTGCAGTTGTTTCTATGTTTAGCTTGAACTTGTGAAACACCGAAACAGATTGTCCAGCGCCTTGGGACATCCTCCCGACGTGAAAAGCGCTATACAAATGTAATTTTGTTGTTGTTGTGCTAGTTCCTTGCAGGCTACTCAGACTCAGTACACACACAGAACACACACACAGACATTATGATGTCTGTGCAAGGAGAAAATGCTGGACTTCCTCGAGTGCAAAATCGAGGGAATCCGCTCAGCTGCCACTGCCCTCCCAACTTCCAACCCCTCCCTACCCCCACCCCATACAATTACCCATCCGACAATTACCCATCCCTTCTTCCACACCTTTGAACCTGTCACCCCCTCCTCTGTCTTCAACACGGTAATCTCCATGAAATCCACCACCTGCTCCCTCGACCCTATCCCTACCCTTAAATCCCAGCTCCACCTCCTTGCCCCACTACTCGCCGACATCATTAACCTCTCCCTGTCATCTGGCACTGTTCCTTCCCCCCTCAAATCAGCCACTATCACCCCTACTTTGAAGAAACCTTCCCTCGACCCATCACAGCTATCCAGCTACTGGACTATCTCAAATCTCCCCTTCCTATCCAAGGTCCTTGAGAGAGCTTTTGCCTCCCAGCTTCGCTCTGTCCTCTCCTCTCACTCCCTCCATGAACCTCCCCAGTCGAGTTTCCGTACTGCCCACAGCACTTAAACTGCTCTGATCAAGGTCACAAACGACATCCTGACCATGTGTGACCAGGGCTCCCTCTGCCTCCTCATCCTCCTCGACCTCTCTGCCGCCTTTGACTCCGTGGACCATTCAATCCTCCTCCACCGCCTCTCCTCCCATCTCAACCTTCAAGGTCCTGTCCTTGACTGGTTTAGGTCCTACCTTTCACACCTCCACCACTTCGTCATGGCAAACGGCTTCTCCTCCAGCCCCCGCACTGTCTCGTGCGGTGTTCCTCAGGGGTCTGTCCTCGGTCCCCTACTCTTCACCCTCCACATGCTCCCTCTTGGTGATGTCATCTGCAGACATGGGATAAATTTCCACATGTATGCGGATGACACCCAACTCTACCTCTCTGCCTCCACTCTGAACTCCAGGACTACCAGCGTCCTGAATGACTGCTTGTCCGACATCAAGTCCTGGACGAGGGACAACCTTCTCCCACTCAACATCAGCAAGACCGAGGCCCTCCTGATTGGCTCGCGCCACCGCCTCCGCACCTCAGGCGCTGGCAGCATCAGCCTCCACGGCTGCACACTTAACCTCACTAAGCCAGTCAGGAACCGGAGTGTCTTGTTTGACCCTGAACTGTCCTTTCTCCCCCACATCCGCGCCATGACTGGCACTGCCTACCACCACCTCCGCAACATTGCCAGACTCCACCGCTGCCTCACCCCTCAGGCTGCCGAAACCATCACCCACGCATTCGTAACCTCAAAGCTCGATTCCGGGAACTCCCTCCTCATCGGCCTTCCCAACTCTTCCCTTCACAAACAGCAGATCATCCAAAACTCTGCAGCTCGTGTACTCTCACGCACCAGGCTCCGTGACACCATCACTCCCATCCTCGCCCGACTCCACTGATTCCCCATCCCCCAGAGGATCGAGTTCAAGATCCTCATCCTCACCTTTAAGGCCATCCATGGCCTTGCTCCCTCCTACCTCTCTGACCTGCTGACTCCCTAACAATCTGCCCACTCCCTCCGTTCATCGAGCTCCGGTCTGCTCCATGTCTCCCGCCCGATCCGCCCTACCATCGGTGGCCGGGCTTTCAGCCTCTCTGCCCCCACACTCTGGAACTCCATCCCACGGTCCCTTCACCTCGTTTCCTCCCTTGGCTCCTTCAAGGGGGGTCTCAAGACCCTTCTCTTCGACCGTGCCTTCAATCGCCCTCCCACCTCTCTGTCTTTCCTCACCCCTACACCACCCCTCCCCCATGCTCGGATTCTGACCCCTGACTGTTCAGCGCCTTGGGATGTCCTCCCGACGAGAAAGGCGCTCTATAAATGTAATTTTGTTGTTGCTGTTGTTGTTGTTGTAGGATCATCAGGGATAACAGCAGATATAGGTAGCAAGCTTTAGTAACCAATGTATACTCACCCTTGACTGCATCCATTATTCAAAGCTATTCCTTTAAGCAAAGAATTCCCCCAATAATCAGAAGTGTGAAAGGCACAATAAAGAAAGAATATTGATAAGAATTAGTGTTGATTGGTAGAGCTCAGCAACTGGTGCATTGATCGTAGTTTCAGTCAAACACAACAAGGGTGATTTCTCTGGCCTTCTTCTGATTCCTCATCTATGAGGAAGCTCATACAGAATTGTTAACCCTCTGAAACTTGTATCAAAGCTCATTGACACCCCATGCTGACCAGCCTAAATTAAAGAAAAAAATGCCCACTAATCAAAAAATTATCACAATTTTGAATAGAAATATATAAATTATATTAATTTTTATGCTTTTTTTTACACCATTTGGTTAAATTATGATAGTTACAAATTGGATACTGTAATAGAGATGCAATAACACAGTCTATGGTGAAGTGGGCTATTGGAAATATATGATAAAAAATAATAATAACAATCCTTGCATTATGTCGTCAAAGCACTTCACAGAAAATACTATGAAGTGAAATGACTGTGTATGAGATAGATTATTATTATACCTTATTATTATTTGAAACTAAAACATTCCTTCAGCCAGGGCAATTTGTATTCAATATCTCATTTCCTGTTGCAAATATATTATGATTTAACCAACTTGCAAAATATATTGTATTTGCAAAGGAAGTTTGCATGTAGAAAGATTAGTGTGATTATTCTTAATAGTGACTTTCCTCCTCCTTATGCAGCCTATTAGAGTACTCCACAATAGTTACTTGTATTTATTTATGTATATCCTGTACTGTGTTTGCTTTCCTCACCTAAAACCAAATTCAATGCTGCAATTCAGAAATGTAATAGCTTTTGAGAAACCAAAGTGAATATTTAGTGGTGGAGTTATTTCACACCCTGTTCATAACTAAACAAGTATCAAACTGTAAATAGGCCATTTAGGCTATAGTGTAAAAACGGTGTGTCATATAAATTTAATTATCTAAGTACATTTTCAAGATAGATTGTACATATAAATAGAAGTAAATGATAAACGTTATCTCTCTCTATTCAAGAACAATGAGTGTGCATTTTAATCCAGATCTTAATTTTGCATTTGTTTTTATTATTGGCGAAACATAATTTTCCAGAGGTAAACCTGCCTCAGTTGGTAGTTCCACAGAGTCAGAAGATTGTTGGTTCAAGCCCCACGTTCAGACTTTGAACTCACAGTCCAGGCT